ATAAGCAGCATGCCATGGCAGCACAGCTGGGAAAACATGTCAAGTAACATTTCTGGGAGAGGCATATCAGGGCGATGGACGTATCAGGCCCTTCAGGTGGCTGCCTCTGGGTGCATTTGCTGAGGCCATACAGGCAGGGACTATCTCCCCTGGCCAGCAACGCTGTGCAGGGCAGGCTGTGCAAAATGGCTTTTGTCACCCGTGTAAAGGTTGATTATAAAACAGCAGTCACTTTTTATTTATCCTGGCTGAGTGCTATTATATTTGTCAGGTGAGGTGAGAAGGCCAGCATGGAAAATGAGAGCTGGCCCCATCAGGCACCGCAGCCTCCTTGGCACCAAAACCTCTCCTCTGCAATTAAGAGATTTTTTTTAATTATTTTTTTTTTCCTTTTTTAAAAGGAGAGGTGTGTTTTAAAGAGTGGTTTTCGTCCTGTGTAAGAAAAAAAGAAAGTGTGGACTGATTTATGGTCAATTCAATGCAAATTCCCTTTGAACCATCTTGAAAAGTGCCATCCTACAGCCTCCTGCAGAACCAGTGATACTGACACCATACAACACCCCAGAGCCCTGGGGTGGTTTCTTAAAAATTCTGAAGGATTATTCAGTTTTCACAATTCTTACCTTTCTACTCTGTAACTAGCTCCAAAACCATTATTATTATTTTTTTTCAAGGAAAGCAAAGATTCACAAATAATCACCTCTCCCAAGGTTTAGACCCTACAGAACAATATAAAATACTGTAAGAAATAAAGTAAGAAATAGTGATGACACTGTTTCTCAGGAGATCTCTTTTTTTGCTTTATTGCTACGGATTGCTGATTGATAACAAGCCTCCTAGAAATATTCATCTTTGGAAAGGGAGGGGGAAAGAAGCCCGAAACATCTCTAAATTCCCTGGAGCATTTCCATTTGGTGAACGGGCTCAGTGTGCCTGACACTAATTAATTAATCTTCTCAATCTAAATTGCTTCTTCTGCATCCCCAATCTACAGCGGAACATACACAAGACCTGAATACATAAGAGGAGGAGCTGAATTTATTTAAAGTATCGTTTGGTAGCATCAATTTGCTCGTCTTCATTTTGGAAACATGGAAGCCTGTGCTTTGTGGCTGTTGCCTGTGAGCTGCAAAATTTGCTTGGATTATTTAAAAATCTTGGGTCATCACTGCCCTCCTGGAAGGGGAATTTGCTTGTGTGTGTGTGTTTAACTTTAAATAAAATGGGAATCTGTGGAACAGCTTTCAGCACAACTGGGCTCAGCGCTTGCTGCCTATTGTGGCCTAATGGCAAAGCTGTAGTTAATTTGGATCAGGAGAGACTTTTTACAGCTTGTCACATGGAATAGATGCAGATATTAAAGCAAATAACATTTGATGAGCTCCAGATTATACCACTGAGTGTGCTCAGGGGAAGCAACCCCCAGGTCCACGCATCCCAGCCCCGCTCCAGCAGGGCCACCCCGAGCAGGGTGCCCAGCCCCATGTCCCTGCGCCTCCTGAAGCTCCCCAAGGAGGAGCCCCCCCAGGCTCTGGGCAGCCTGTGCCAGGGCTGTGGCACCCGCCCAGCACAGCAGTGCTGCCTGGTGCTCAGAGGGAGCCTCCTGGGCTCCAGGCTGTGCCCAGGGCCTCTGGGCCAGGCCCTGGGCCTGCTGGCCGCACTGTGCCTAAGGCAGCCCCGGTGCCGCCAGCCCTCTTGGTGCCCAGGGAACTGCTGCTGGCCCGTGCTCAGCACGGTGCCCACCAGGCCCCCAGGGCCCTTCCTGCAGAGCTGCTTCCCAGCTGGGTGCCCCAGCGTGTCCCGGGGCGGCTCCTCCCCGGGGGCAGCACTCTGCACCTCTCCTGCCTGGGCTCCCCCAGGCTCCTGCCAGCCCAGCTCTGTCCCTGTCCTTGTCCCTTGGGGTCACAGGGCCCTCTGCCACATCAGCCACCTCGGGACTGGACCCCTCAAATGAAACTCCAGGAAAAGCAGCAGTGACCCAGGCTTTTAGGGCCAGGCTTGCCCTGCGGGGACAGCAGGGACCGTGCCCATGCAGCAGTCAAACGCTTCCCCCTAGCGCCGCAAGAGCACAAGAGCAGGAGCCCCACCACGCTGCAACTGCAGCAAGCTGTGGGCTGAATTTATATATCCCCGTTTAGGGCATGGTTTTGTTAGTGTGTTTGGTTTATTTTCTCTCGGTTATTTTGCTTGTTTCCTCACAAATCAGACACAAGGGGCAATGAAATGCGAACAGCCCTTCTCCCACCTGCTTCCTGACGCTGTGCCCTGAGGACCAGCGGGTGCTTAAACTACGAAGGTAGTTACTAGAAGTAGTAACTACGCTGCCTGTCTCTGGGCCATCACCAGGTGGCCCTAGAAAACAGCCTATGTCAGTCCCGAGTCTTGCTGAGACGTATCTCAGATTGCTTTTATTTTCCAGCAAGGTTTTGGCTTTCGGAGAAGCATGACAGGCTCGTGCCATCTGCAGTTCATCCCTCTTAACCAAAGGAAAATCCAAATCTAAAGGAGAATTCACACAAAGATTTCCAAGTCCTTCACTTGCCAGTTATCACAGGGGGCTGTGACCCAACCACGTGCCCTGGGGGTTGTCATCCTCCTTAGGAAATAACACAGCACTTATGGGAAAAGCAATTGTAAAAATCCTTTGCTGCTGCAAAGCCCACACACCGGCTGTGAGCTTTGCTCTCTGCTGGGAAAACCGAAGGATTTCCATGGGAGCAAGAGGCTGTGGGAGGGACCCCAAAGCATCTGCCCTGGGGTGCTGAAGTGCTGGCTCTCAGGGCTGTAACAAGAAATGTCTGACCCCAGCTCTTTGTCTGCCTCTCCAACCAGCTAGAGGAATTTAGTTCAGTGACTATAAAAGGCCAGAAGAGGGCAGCTTTTAGCTCGGATTCCTTCCCCAGTCCAGCTAACATGTGCTGGCCGGGGCAGAAATGTGCAGCTAGGACCAGGGCACCCACAGGGCGAGCCCACAGCACCCTATGGCTCTGTGCCTCTGGCTTTCTCCCCACTGCCAGCCCATGTGGATCTCACAAACATCACCATGGGCCTCCCCCAGGGCACGGCTACACCACTAAATCAAACACCTTCCCAGGTCACGTCCCCCCATGGTGGCCTTCCCAAGGCTGACCCTTCATGCTCATCTCCTAACACAGGCTGCCTCCCTTCCCCAGAGATGGCATGCCGTGGTGAGGAATGGCCCAATGGCCCAAAAGCATCGCTCGTGCTGTAACTCCAGCCTTGTGAAGTGCACACACAGCCTCAGCCCCGGTTCTATGCTTTATTACATGTCCCAGGCCCCACTCGCCTTAATTACAACTTGGTTGCATCGAGCCTCTTGTATCAGGGAAGGCTGCTGTGCATTAACCGAGTGAGAATTAGCAGCCCAGATCTGACCTCCAACATGATCCTGGTGTATTTTATCTCTAAATCAGGCTACAGCTGGCTAAAGTAGCTGTAAACAACTGTACAACAGCTAAACACAGGTAAATCAGCTCAGAACAGGATTTTCCCCTCTAATCACCTTTAAGGAAAAAAAAAGAAAGGGAGGGGGGGAGGAGCAAATAAGGTACTCTGATATTTTTTGGGGGGTTGAGCAGAAATTGGTGGTGCAAATCACACAAGGAGGCAATCTGAGATGCTGGCATGCCACCAGAGAGCACGGGGTGATTCATGAGCCCTAAATCCCCACCAGCGCTGCGCTTTCACTCTCTCTGCCACGCGTGCAGCTAGGTAGGCTCCCAGATTTACTGCCCTGGGAAAGACGCTGGGAAATTGATAGTTTTTCTAAGCCTCACACTTATCACTGGTAGCAAGGCTAATGCACTTTGCTTTCTGCGACAGGGTTGCAGAAAAAAAGTGGGGCAAAATCTGCAGCTTTGAGCTGGAGTGACACCAGAGCAGGGAATGGCTGAGACCTGGTGTTATAGGGACAGGAGTGAGGATATGTTGGCCACGTAGGTTGTGCCTGCAGACAAACCTGAACCACCCTTGTTCATCCTGCCTGTGTGTGCCTAACCATCCCAAATTCAGCATCCTTTCCCCCGTGTGGGTGTGTTCAGGCTTTGAGTTTCCAGGCTGCCACCATACCTGGCTGCACAGGAATTGCAATCAGCTGGGCTCAGGCTTCCCCAGGCCTTTTCTCCTCTTCTGTGAGATGGGGAAATGATTACTCCAGCCAGAAATGTCCCCGTCACCCTTCTGAGGGCAGCGAGCAATTTATGTGCACGGAGCCCCTGATGCAGCAGATAAAACCCAAGGCTGCTAAATCCTCCACCCCTACAACACATCTGCTTAAAGGAAGACATCCTCCTTTGCTCACCCTCTGCACACCAGATTTTATTCCTTCCAGCTCAGGCATCCAAACAATCAGTCAGGACAGCCAAATGAACCCTTTTTTTGTGTGTGTGACCACAAAATACCAGCACTGCTTTGCTCCATCCAGCACCAGACCCGTCCCTGGCAGAGCCCTGCAAGCACACCGGCCTCGCTTCTCCTCCCACTGCACTCACTCGCGGCAGTAGGACCCAGCACTCGCCGTGCAAAAATGACGTCTGTCATCTCAGCAAATAGCAGGAACAAAGGCACAGAGCGCTCCTCTTTTGTCTGTGCCTGCTCAAGTCAGGCAAAGGTTTTGTTCCTCCTGCAGAATTGCAGGGTTGGGGGGGGAGCGACAGGCACAGTCAGGGCTTTGATGCAAGCATAGTGCAAAAAGAGAGTTGTTTTCGGTGCAAATCCCAGCATAACCTGTCAAAAAGCCCTCATGCTCAACTGCACGTGCTTTAACCTGCAAGCCTGCGCTTGGTGTGAGTTTGCAGAGGCAATTTCTGGGCAGGTTCACACAGAGGAGGTCCCTCTTTGTCCAGCACATAGGTACGTGCTGGTATTCTGCCACAAGATGCAGAAAAGGCTACACTTGTTAAGCTTCAGAGATGGGTGGTAGGAATTCATGCAGAAAAACAAAACAAAACAAAAAAAAAAAGATTATGAAACGCACCTACCCTGTTCTTGTGTTCCTCCAAGGGCCTCCACTCCTTGTTGCTTACAGAGTGGCAGCACTGGGCTGTTTTCATGTTTTCAAACTCCTTTGAATTATTTTTTTCCCCTCATTTGTGGCTGTTTTAGCATTTCCTGGAGATCAGGCTGCAAAACCGGCTTTAAGCTGGTTCTTGAAGGGCTCTGCTTGGCCTGAGGAGAGGCATCTGAGGTCAGGAAATGGAGCTCAGCTGCTGAGCTGCAGATGAACGGATTATTCATCACTGCTGAATTAGGAGCACTTGTGGATTCAGTCATTTCCCCACTATCATGCTGCTTTTATCCATTCTTCCCTCCAGCCCTCCGCCCACCCCTAAGAAGCTCCTGGGGACCTCTCAGGATCTTTCTCCTCTGAGCCACGAAACCTCCTTGGCCCTAGGAGTCTGCAGAGGGTTGAACACATGTTCAGCCCCTAATGAACCTTCATTACCTGGCTTCACTAGCCAGGGAGGGCTGTGGCCGAGCCTGGGAAGGTCCTCAGGAAGAAAGGGGAGGTGGAAGGGAGGGAAAGCAGGAAGAAGGGAGCAAGAAAAGGTTGCTGAGCACAACAGGTCCAAGTGTGCCATCCCCCAAAAGCCTCCCAAAGGACTGTCAGAGCGAGATTCCCTACAGCATATTCCTCATCCAGGAGAGTCACAGGCCTGGCAGAGCTCACCCCAGAATCACTGGCAGAAAGCCGGGGGGTCCCCCAAACCAGCTGGAGGTGCCAGCCCCATGTCTTGTCCCTCCACAAGCCATCTGAGGTCTGTCTCTTAGCACAGCCTTCGAGCTGTTCCCACAGCCCAGGCGTTAGTCACAGGGATGCTATTAATTAGCCTCAGAGAATCCCCGAGAACGGGGGCAGTCCTAATTACAGGCCTTGCCTGCTAACTTTGTTTGGGCTGGCGTCTCTGCTTTTAAGGCAGAAACAAAAGGAAGCAGACTAAGACAAGTGATGCCAGAGAGAAGAAATGTGTGAGAGGCGCCTGCATGCTCTAGGAGTTGCGACATTCCTCTGCAAACCAATTTCCCCCCCCAGGTCACTGCATTTGCCAGAGCCTGCTGACAAAATCTGCTGCTCCAGGGCTTCGTTTTGCCCAGGTGATACAGGGCTAATTGGTTGTAGATCAGCAATCACCATCAGGGATGCTCTGTGCCTGTGCAGGCAGCATCCCCAGCGTTGTCCACAGGCACGCTGCTGGTGGATGTGTGCGGTCTCCATCCCTTTGTGTGCAACCGAAATAAAAAAAAAAAGGAAAGAAAAAGGAAAAAAAAAATATACATCGAAGCACAAGATTAGCTGGGGGAGGGGAGATGGGTTGGTGGGGCTGGGAAGAAATAATTGCCATGTCTGAAAGCAGTTACTATGGCAGCAACAGCCTTCTTGCTGCTGGAGCGAAATGTTGGGGACCAGCATTTTTGCCTTTGTCAGATGCTCCCAGACACACATTTAGATGCTAATGCTGGCTTTAACCTTGGCTGCATAACCTCAGGGTGAGGGGCAGAAAGTAGAGGAGGGAGGGGGATGTATGGCAAAGATGGGTTTCGGCTCCCTAAATTTGCCACTGAATGGACTGGGCACACTCCTCTCAGCTGCGATTAACGCTGGTATTTCTGCGCTTAATATTCAGCGGAGGTCTTAACAGCTTATTTATGGATAGCTGGCATTAGCTGCAGCATAATTCACCACCTGCAACGCTCCTGTTTATCTCCGTCCCCTTGGGATCATCTGATATAAGGCCATTTTTTCGAACATCCCCCAGGTTTGATCAGCCTGTCTATCCCATCTCGCCTTTATTTATAACCCACAATCAATGCCGGGGTGAAAAAAAAAAAAAAGAGAGGGGCAGCTCAGCCCTTCGACTTCAGCTGTTGGGAGAAAGAAATTTTGGTGGCCTGTTTCGACAGGGAAGCCTTTCAACCTGAGCCTCAGATCTGTCTCCAGCAGTGGGAATGAAAGAGGAGCAAGGGAGGGGAGCTTTGGCTCCTGCAGTTGAGGTGATGGAGGGGAGAGGGCTTCCCAAAGGGTGTCCCGGGGCTGGCAGTGCTGTCCTTCATCCACATAGGAGGTTAAGCCTGCTGTAAGCCCTCGGTAAGATCCAGCTATTCCCAGAGCTCGTGGCACACCCCTGATCCTGCCCTGCTCTTGTGCTGAGCAGGAGGTGGTGGTTTGGGCATCGCCACCCTGCGGGTTTGGCTTTGTGCAGTGCCACCGAGCTCGGAGGGAGCCCTCGCCACCTCCTCCCCCTGGAGCTGGCACAGCACCTGGGGCAAAGCAAGGCTGCGATTATCCCATGGAGGGCAAAGGGTGTGCTGGGTGGGTGTTTGACCCTCCAGCCAGCCCTGCACCTGCGTGACGCCACACGCCACGCGTGGAGGTGACACGGTGCCAGGAGGTGACATGGTGCCAGGAGGTGACAAGGTGCCAAGGAGCCTTGCTCGTGGGCATTTCCACCAAGAAAACAGTGCCCGCTGTCACCTCCCGAGCAATTCAGCTCGGCCACAAGGCTGGGAGGAACAGCGAAGAGGCAGGGAACGAGGGAAGGAGGCAGGGAAGGAGGGCAGGAGGCCGTGAGGGAAGCGGCGGCGCGGCCCCTCCTCCCGGGCGGGGCGGCAGGCGGCGGCCGGCAGTCCCCGAGCCCCGGCTCGGCGTGGAGCCGCCAGCGGCCGAGCCGAGCCCTGCCGAGCCCAGGAGAGCCCAGCAGGGCCGAGCCGAGCCGGGCTGGGCCGAGCCGAGCCGGGCCGGGCCGGGCCGCGGCCATGGGCGCCGGGTTGTGAGGGGAGGAGGAGGGGGGGGCGGGCGGCGAGGGGCGCCCCGCAGGCGGCCATGGGGAACATCTCGTCCAACATCTCCGCCTTCCAGTCCCTGCACATCGTCATGCTGGGGCTGGACTCGGCGGGGAAGACGACGGTGCTGTACCGGCTGAAGTTCAACGAGTTCGTCAACACCGTGCCCACCATCGGCTTCAACACCGAGAAGATCCGGCTGAGCAACGGCACGGCCAAGGGCATCAGCTGCCACTTCTGGGACGTGGGCGGCCAGGAGAAGCTGCGCCCGCTCTGGAAGTCCTACAGCCGCTGCACCGACGGCATCATCTACGTGGTGGACTCGGTGGACGTGGACCGGCTGGAGGAGGCCAAGACGGAGCTGCACAAGGTGACCAAGTTCGCCGAGAACCAGGGCACGCCGCTGCTGGTCATCGCCAACAAGCAGGACCTGCCCAAGTCCCTGCCGGTGGCCGAGATCGAGAAGCAGCTGGCCCTGCACGAGCTCACCCCCTCCACCACCTACCACATCCAGCCCGCCTGCGCCATCATCGGCGAGGGGCTGACGGAGGGCATGGACAAGCTCTACGAGATGATCCTGAAGCGGAGGAAGTCCCTCAAGCAGAAGAAGAAGCGGTAGAAGCCCGCAGACGCGTGGACGGGTGGGAATGCAGACAAAGGAACCGAGGGGGAGAGAGAACCAAAGCGATCCTGTTTTTTGTGTTTTCCTTTTTTTTTTTTTTCCTTCTTTTTATTTTTTTTTTGTCCCTTTCCAAACGAAACGACGACAATAGCGGTGATAACAATACCGCTCCTGCTAGCCAAGCCCTGATCCTGACTGCGGGCGAGAGCCAGGATCTCCTTCTCCCGCTCTTCCCCCTTGCCCACCACCCTTTCCCCGGCCGGAGGGCGGCGTGGAGCACAGGGTGGCTGCTGGGCTCCAAGCTGGAGATGCCCTGAGCCCCCTGGCCGGGCTGGAGATGCCCTGAGCCCCCCTGGCCGGGCTGGAGATGCTCTGAGCGGGACAAGACGCCGCGGGCGGCCGAGAGCCCGTGGAGCTGGGGTGGCCCCCCCAGCGCCCCTCCGTCCTTGCGGGGCGTGGAGGCCAAGGGGTGAACAGGGCAGGACCCTGTTAAAGTGCATTTGAGAGAGGGCGAACGCGCGCCTGGAGCTTTTAATGCAAGGTCAGCCGGCAAGGAGGGCGGCTCTCGGCTGCCTTCATCCCTCACCGGGGGGCTGGAGTAGCGTAAAATGGGGGAGATGGCCGAGGGGACAAAACCTGGACGAGGGGACAAACCCCGGCCGAGGGGACAAATCCAAACCCCGCGGGCTGGTGTTTTAGGGAGCAGATGAGTGCAGAGCACAAGGGCAGGCAGCCTTCAGTAATGCCGCAGCGGCTGGGGGTGTGTAGCAGCTGGTGACTGGTGCTGAGCTTTAAGCTGTTTGCTTAAAAAAAAAGAAAAAAAAAAAAAAGGGTGAAGTGAGGGGCGTCCAGGAGTCTCTGTTCTTAAAGGCGTGGTTGTGGCTTCTCCTGAAGCAAAGCCACGAGCAGGTCTTTATTGTGCCCAGGCATGCGCCAAGGTGCTAATATGCTCCATTCGGGGTGACCCAAAATACAGATTTTAAGAAAAAAAAAAAGCTTTGTACACCGCTGGGTGGACTGGTCACCGTGCTGCCCTGCAGCTGGTGCGGGAGGCTGGGGCAGCGCTTGTTAAACAGGAGCTCGGGGAGGTCGTGGCAGGACGGACAGCTGCCGGGTGAAAAGGGCAGAGCTTGCAAAACCCTGCAAAAAGATTGCAAAATGTGGCAGGAAAAGGGGACTCGGCAGTGCCGGGGAAACGATGGGGTGTGGAGAGAGGGGGTGAGGCGGGGGGGAGCTTATTTTTTTTATGAAGATTTAAACCCGATGGAAAGCAGAGAGCCCCCAGTTGCCAGCAGGTGAATGTTTGGGCACCGAGGTGGGATCAGGCCAGGCTGGGGGCCCTGGGGACTGTAAGCCATTTGCTGGCAGTGTTTTGGCCCGGGAACCAGCTCTCTGCGGGACAAAAGCAGGGTCCCCGCTCCCCACGTTGCCCACAGACAGGAGGGAGAGCCGGGCAGGCAGGAGTTTGTGGTGCTTTTCCACCAGCCTTCCTGTTCGAAAACCCTCCCCGAAACAGCCAAGGAAACCACCAAGCAGACAAAGAAAAAAAAAATGCCCTCAGGTTTCAGGGAGTTGATTCTCCCCTTGCAGCGACGAGCGCGGTACCTTTCCAATGGCATTTTGTCAGAAAACAAACGCTGCGGCCAAGCAGTACGTCTCTTGTTATTTTTTTTTTTGCGGGATTTGAGTTCCTACACGAGTCCCGACCTGTGCGCGGAGCGAGTGGGCTGGTCCCATCAGCTTAGGAGGCTGTGTGCCTGCCTCGTTGGGTTTCCTTTGCTTTGTCTTCACCTGGAACACTTTGGTATTTGCTGTTGGGAGAGAGAGCAAAATATTTATTTTTGATGCCACAGAAGCCAAACGCTTAAACCTTTTTGTTTTCTTTTTTTTTTTTTTTTTTTTTTGGCGAGTGACCCATTCCAGGGGCAAAACACAGAACTCCTTTTGCCCGCCACCTCTCCACCTCTTAAGAAGAACGAATGTGGGTGTTGTGTGTTTTGCCTCCTCGCCGTCAAGGTGTGGATCTTGGGTCTGCTGGCACCGAGCATCCCCTCGGAGATGGGACTGCTTTTTGGCTGAGCTTTCAGGCACGCGCCTGGCTCGCGTGCTCTGAGGCTCATCCGAGGCAGGCGGGATGCTGTCGGGGTGCCGTTCCCACCAGCTCGGCTTTCTGCAATAATTAAAAGTACTTCTCCAATTAGTAGCTAATGGCTTCCGTGGTATTTCCGTAACGTTTCACGACTGCGTGCTGATTTTCCTGTGTGAAGATGAGCGTCGCCTACGGTGGGCTAGAAGAAGAGGTGCTTCAGCAGAACAGCAGCTAAAGGGGACTGACTGCCCGTGTTGGTTGTTGCTCTGAAAACGAGCCGAGCGTTTTGCGAGGTTGTGTGTCCTCTAAACCTGTTTGAACGACCCCTTTTTTTTTATTTTAGCCGACGTCATGAGGTACGGGTCTCACTCCACGAGGTACCTCGCCGTGTGCCCATCAGTGTTGGAAATCCTGCTGCCTGTGTCTTAGCCCTGCCCCTGCCCGTCAGTCTCTGTCCCTCCTGTCTTTCCTCTTTTTTTAAAAAAAGATGCAGACATAATGCTGTGAACTGAAATAAATTATTTATACAATGAAAGGGCCTGATAAAAAACAAACAAAAACCAACACGTGTCCCTCCGCTTATTTCTCCTTGTCAACACCGCATTTTAGGGCCGCTTCCCAGAGCTCGACACGGCGGAGGTTGCTCCTGCCTCCCTTGGGCACAGGGACAGAGAAGCGACCTGCTTTTGGGCCAGCAGCCCAAAGGACAAACCCTGGGACAGGCCATCCTCTGGGGCATCAGGAGCATGGAAAGCTCTGCAGTGGATGAACTCCAAAACCTTTGACAAGCCACCTGATTTTTCAGCATTTGCGCTCCCGTGTGTAAAAGGGGAGAACACTTCTCTGCCGTGGCTATTTTCTTCCCCTCTCCCTTTTTGTTTTAAACCTACGTGAAGGTACTTCACGGCCCTTAGAGGAGTGAGGTCTTGCTTTCGTTTGCTGGAGGAGGTCGGGGGTTTTGTGGTGCAGGCAGGGGCACAGCTGGGGCTGCAGGGGTTAAGGAGCCAGGCAGGCATTTGGGAACAGGATGCTGCTGGGCTGAGCTGCAGGCGGCCCCTGCTCCCGGGTGGCTGCTGACACAGGAAGCTTGGGTGACATCTCGGAGATGAGAGCCAGAGCGGGTGGTAAATGACTTTTTCTATTTTATTTATTTATATATTTTTAAGTGGTGACTTTGCAGCTGGCAAGGAAACGAGTGAGAGTGGTGACGGTGCGATCTGACGGGGCACAGAGCGAGCACGAACCCTGCGAGAGGTTTACCCAAAGCTCATCCCGCGTGGCCTCCAGCACTCCTGGGTGCGAGGATGTGCTGTGTGCATTGCAGGACCAGGCCCTGGTGTAAAGGGAAGGAGCCATCCCTGAGCTGGGCTCTGCGATGGAAACAGCCAGAAGGGTTGGGGCTGTAGGTTTTGAGAGGTTGGGGCTCGGTGTGTGGCTTCACCAAGGTCTGCTGCCCTCAGGCTGCGAGCAGGGGGGCTTAGCAGGGGTGTCCTGCAATTTATCTAACCCTAAAGCCACTTGTGGCAAAGCTCCTTGTGCCTTCAGCTGCATGGACGGCTAGAGAGTGCCTCTGTCAGCAGGGGCTGTGTGTGTTTGGGCCAGTTGTCATGAAAACCTTGCACAAGGAGCTCCCTGACCTCACAGTGCCCCGAAGCAGCACTCCGGCCCTGATTTATACTGCTGCACCATCTCCCCGAGCAGGGAGGCCAGCAAAACAGCCAGCAAAGCTGGGGCTGTGGTTCCCCAGCACCACGTTTTTTTGGGACCCTGATGGTGTGTGGGGCCCAGGACACCAGGCAGTGCCCCAGGGGGAAAAAGCAGCCAGGAAGCAGCTGGGGTGTCCGCTGCAACAGGGCTCTGCGACTTCTATCACTCAAAGGGCAAGAAACTACAAAAAGTGTCACATCTCAGGGGGTGTTGCTCTAGCTGACGGTGTTTGGGACAGAAATAAGCTCAGAGATAAGCTAGTTGCTTCAGAAACCCCTCTAGCAGCCTGGTGCACCCCACATTTTCCTGCACATCGTTTCATGATGCCTCCTTCATCCCAAGAGCCCTGCAGCTCCTTGTCTGCACTTTCTGCCTCTGCCTTGCCTCCTGCTCTCTCAGCTGAGCACATCCTTCTCCCTCTCTCCTTCCCTCCCCAATTTGCCTTGTTAAGCTAAATCCCTCTGCTTTATTTCAAATGGGATTTGCTCCCAAGCAAGTATCTTTAAAGGGATCATCTTGGTTAATGTAATTCCTGGAGCACTGAAGCTTTGGAGCACAGTGCAGCGCAAAGAGATGTTTCTGTGCACAGCACGAGGTACTTTTCTCAAGGTTTGGGTGGCGTGAGGGTGACCATCTCTTGAGAATAGGCTAAGAAAAACAACCTGCTGATTCAAGCCTAGGCCTTGTTTGCCTTGCTTTCATTCATCCCAAAGCTTCTTCAGCGTGAATTGCCCCCAATTTTTGTATGAGCAGCAAAAGGCCACTGCGGTGAGTCAGGTCTGCAGGACACCAGGCACTTTGCAAGTATATCAGGCAAAATAAATAAATAAATTAAATAAAAAAGAGACAGCACTCACCCATTAGGACAAAATTGAGATGTTTCAGCACAAGCATATCCTTAACAAAGGCAGTTTGTGATGAGTAGGGAATATGGAGAGAATAGCCTGAGAATATCTGCTCCAAGGAACCACTCTTTATATCAGCTTAGCTTGTGTTTGCTTCCATCAGATATTTAAGTGAGGAAACCTTATATAAAAAAGCAACTCTCCACAACTACATTCAGGTATTGGTGGCAGGTGAGTGATGAGCCCATTGACCCCGCAGGTGTTTGCGCTGGAGCCATACCCAGCGGCCAGGTGAGCAGCAATAATCCCCCGTGCCCTGGGGCATTGAATCAGCACTAACGACCTCTTTGTCCTCCCTCCCTGACAGTCCTGACTAATGGCATCTCCTGGAAAGCTGCTTGCAAAAATGCTTCAGGATGAGGAGTTTGCCAGAAGTGTTTCTGCGCCCATGGCCACGGGGTGCTGGCAAACACCGGGGAATGGGAGGCAGAGCTCGTCTCACCCAGCAGAATTATTATTGTGTTGTTAGCATTACTTTGGCCCGGTGTTTCCCAAATTTTGCAGCTGAAAGGGGCTGCTGTCAGCTTGGGAAGTTTCTTGTAACCCAGTGCTGGGGCTGGAGGATTCCCAAAAGCTGGTGTCTGGGGAGACAGGCACACCGTGTGAAGCTCCTGGTCCCATCCAGCGCTGCTGTGGGTCTGTAAGAGAGGGTTGCTAGTGTTTTTCTTACTCCCAAGGCTAAAAAAAATAAATGGATGGTGTCATGATACTCAGATCCCCATCCTAAAGATGCTTAATGCATAGGATTTATGTCTCTCACACACTGGGGAAAGGGTTTGAGTGGTATTGGGTCAGTGGGAGATCAAGGCAGGCACTCCTGCTTGTGCTGCGGGCAGCGGAGCCATGCCAAAGTCCAACCCCCAGCATCTCCGTGCCACGCTGACTTAATTTTATGAGTGGTGGCTCTCTGAAACCCCACCAGCCTCCCAGTGCAAGCGGCTCCCCGACCAGGGAAAGCAGAGCTGGGCACTGGGTACGATGCCGTGGCATCAGGGTGGTCCCCTTGCTGTGCCACCCCCTCGGTGCTCGTTCCTGTCCCGTTCTGTGGCTCCAGCCCATGGTGCTCAGGGTGACATTTCCCGTTCACACTTGGCTGGCTGAGGGTATCCCGGCTTGCTCAACCCTGCTGTGGTTTCGAGTGAGCACGGAGGTGGAAAAAAAAAAAGGAAAAAAAAAAAAGTGGCAATGGGAAATGGGAACACAGGGCAATTGTTGTGCTGGCTAATGTTTAAACAGCTCTCGGAAAGCCCCCTCCCTTGCTGCTTGCACTCTCTACCCCTTCTAACAAGGGGACCCTTTCAACTATTTGGCAACTTCCCCATTCTCTGGCTTCTGCTGCCCATGTAAAATCTCCAAAGGCCGGAGGAGGAATGGCAATGCTGCAGCTTTACAACATTTTCCTGCCCACTGCATCCTCCCAGGACGGACTGTGCTCATTCCCAGCCAGCTTTAGAAACCACCTGAGAAGGAGGAATTTGTCATAAGGTGGTGGGTGCCCAGACGACAAGGGACTGTAGGAAAAAAAATGGAAAAATAATGCTAATCCACACCGTTCTTGTTGTGTGCAACTTGTTCTCCACAACATGGAGAATCGAACTGGGAATCGAACAACCCCTTCCCTGACAATTTTTCTGCAGCTTCTGGCACCAAACCCAGCCGTCTTCCCACCCAGCCCAGCATCCCTAAAGGTGCTGCCCATCATCATCTTTTCGTCACAAGGGCGTGATGGAAAGAGTAAGCCTAGGCTGGAAAGGGATGAAATAATTCCATGATGAATCACCCCTCACCGGCCACAAAACCTCAGCAGGACAAAGAACTCGTCTGGGGCCCCCTCCTCCCTCCCCTGCTGGCTCCCTGCAAAACTCGAGGAGAGCAAAGGGGAGGGAGCAAAGCTGTTTTACTGAACCTTAGCATCAGCATTTCTTTACAGCCTGCCTGCTTTGTGTCCGTAGCAATCGCCTGGGTGGAATGGGGGAAAACCAGCCTGATTGCAGGCGAGAGGTGCTGGTGGGACGGTGTTTGAAGGGAACGCTGGAGGATAAGGCCATAAACCTGCTGGGAGGTCACTGAAGGGGCTGTTTTGGGAACTGCGAGCCCTGCTGGAGTTTTATCGCTGTGGTCTGAGGGGTTGTAACCTCTGAGGATGCTCTGAGCTGAGCAGAGCATTGCTGTGATTTACTGGCTTATTTTAAGCTGAAAGCTGCCATAGCCCGGGATGAGGGTTAAAGATCCTTGCAAAACTTTGGAAATTAGCCCAGGGTACATTTTATATATATGGATCAGGCTGAGACTGTACCCAGAAGGACAGCCGAGGTGTATTTTGGGGTCACTTGTGCTTGAGCATATATGCACATTGGAGATGGGGGGGGGAAGACCACATAAATCTCCCCTAGACAGAAATTGCTATTTCTGTGAATTCTGTAAAACTGAGTTCTGGCATTCTTTGCACTGAAATGGGGCCTGGGAGCCTCTGCTGCGTTTAGGGTCCCCATATGCTTGGTGATCAATAAACCAGGGTGAGAGAAGCCCTGCCCAAAACGTTGGTGCCTGTAACATAACGGAGCTGCTTGGAAACCATCTGGTGCTCCTCCTCCCTCGCCACCCAAAAATGATAATTGGTAAAAAATGAGCCACTCCATGGAAATGCTGATGGCAAAACGCCACCGAGGGAGGTGGAGGGGGATGGCGGGGAGGAACCAAGCAGCACTGGCCTCTTTGTTTGGATAATGCTGAAACAGCAGTGCCGGAATGGCTCACATTTGCTTTGAGATGGCTCTTCATCTGGAATTATTTTTAAGGCAGTTTCTGTTACTAAATGTATATAATGAAATATACCTTGGCATCTGAGCAGGGCAGAAGGGGAGCGTGTGATCCCCAGCATCGCTCCTCTGTCTGCGTGGCAGCTCCCCAAGCTGCCCAGGGGGAATCTCCTTCCATCCTCTCCATGCCGTG